CTAAAAACATTAGACAAAAAACTATTTTTCTGTATTTTGAATTATAAGAAATTATTTATAATAGAGATAGAATCATAGGACAAAATATTATTTTTCTATAATAGAAATACAAACAGATAGCGAGTTATTTTTCTTTTAAACTCTTAACAATAGAAAATAAAAATTATTTTCCTTTATAACGTAAAATGATTTTAAAAAAAACACGTCAGCGAGTAAAAATTATTAAAAATGACCAGAAATTACCATTTATCATGTCCATATCATCTATTCGATTCTCACCAAGTACTAACGCTACCTCAGTCAGAATCCAGTACCAACTTTAACCAAATTCTCCAAACACTTCCTATAAATACTAAACCTAAGTCCTCATATTTTCTAGCAAACATACAGCAATTATAACTTATAAAAGAAACGAAGAGAACATAATCCTAAACAAATATTTTTCTCTTTTTCGCATACGCCACTTTGACTACGTTCACAGTCTCCATCAGCAGAGTATCTAAAATAGTTACAGTGAGGCCGTTTTTGACCGCTAGTTCATCATGATGGAACTTCGTCCACTCATCCTCCTCGGCCTGCGCCTCCCTAGCCAAAAGTTCATCGACCCTGTCCCTCCTTTTCCTGCTCCATCTCATCACCATATTCTCCCTCTGGAGTTTCGTCTTAAAACCAAATAACGTGGCCACTTCTTTATTCACATAAGCATTCAACTCGTCAATAGTCTTGGGTATCTTCATCGTCGGCTTCGTCTTGACGTTGGGCTTCGTCCAACTGGGTCCAGGTTTCTCATACTCGGCCTGATAAACCTCGGCGATCGTCTCCTTGCACAAATCAAATAGGAAAGCGTTGTAAATTCTTCTATCCTTCTTAACGGTTTCATCGTTTTCTTTGGTCAGCTCGCAAATTTCCGGCGGAGCTTCTAAGGTCATTATGTCTTCCCCAGCCTCTTTCGCTCTGAATATTATGGCTGTTGCTTTTTCGGTGAACGCCGTTAGTTCCTCGGTGTTTGACGGGATCACGGCTGGTGGTGGAGAAGGTGATCCGAGGGAGGTGGAAATTCTTGCACCGCCACCGGGTGGCGTGTATGGAGGCGGTGGTTTGTTGGGGATTTCTCTGACGTAGTATGATACCTCCTCGGCTTCCAATTTCTTGATCTATTATGGTAAAAGAGAATAATTCGTTAAGTCAAGGAGGTGAGAAAGGAGACTAAGAGAGCAAGAATAAGAAGTAAGTTTAGGAAGGTAGATAAGATAGGTAGATAAGTGAGCGAGCTGAGGGGGCAAGCACAGCAAGCAAACTAAGGGAGGAAGATGAGGAAGAAAATAAGCTTAGGAAGTAAGTTAAGGAAACAAATGAAGACATATGTACCTCTAATTCGATTTGAAGTTGTTCGATGCGAAGCAATTTCGCTTCCCAATCCGCGTCTTCCACACGAGGCTGCTCCAACGAAGCTGTGGAAATAATAAAAACGTGAAGTAATATAAATGTATAAAACGCTTCAGGAGTACATCGTCCAGGAAAAGCAACACGAATCTTTACATTACACTATGAGTTCACATGTTACTTCGATTAGGTGCTTTGACGACGAATTAATAAAAGGAAAGAAAGAAATACATCCAGATATATGGATAACAAAACTTTCGATGCATTAATAAAATGGTACGAAGCTGTGATAAAAATTGTACATTCCAAATTGAATACGTAGGTACGTACAATGACTTCCTTTAATATTCGGAAACATTTTAAAATGGAATAACTCTTAATATTGGATCAAACAACTTTCTGCATCATGCAGAAAATTAATTAGTTTGATTCAACATTAAAAAAGATATTCTATTTTGAAGTATGTTCGAATATTAATGGGAGCCACTATGTAATTATAATAAAAATCGTTTGGTTCGTTAAAAATGTCCAGAGGGGATTGAAGGAAAACACATTGTGTCGTGTTGAACAATACATATTTACAGGCCCTCGACTGTGTGGAAGAGAAATTAATAGTCAGAGGTCAAGCACTCATGCAACACTGATTTGTACAAGAAGAACAAGTCAATGTTCGTTTCATTCAAAGTTTCGTGTTGTTATTACCTTTAAGTAATTATTATCTCGACTTTGCTATTCTGAAAATAAACAACACATGGCTATACGAGGCAATGCTTTGCACAGGAATCCGCAGCCAATATAAAAATCAGAACGTGTCTCTGTAATGTATGTAATGTGCAACGATCAATTAGTCCCCGTTGATATCATACAAATTTTATTTGAAACATTTTTAATAGAAACTGGTGGTTTAGAAGAGATAGAACTGGCTGTAGTCATGTATCCCACCCTGTTTAGATGTCGAAATTATAATAGTAACTGTTAAAGTGTTAAAAGAAATATCCACTACATACTCACATATCCATTCAATAGCAGTAATAATCAGGGTTGCAAATAAACGATAAAAGTTTCAATATAATTGTACACCGATAGGAATATATTAAATGTCCCAATTTCTGTTCACATTCCAATTTCTACAGACTGACTTATGATGATAAATAAAATACTTGAAAAGAAACCGATTAATAGAAATTCTTAAATGAACAGAAATAGAATCATTTACTGTACTCCAATAATTGAATAAAACCCAATCCTTCATTGTCAATGAAATTAAAGTAATCTGCAACCCTGTTAACAATTTAAGACTCAATGACTATTAATGATTCCGAATTTATATACACATTTTGTTAAAATCAGAAAATATGTACAAAACGTAAAAGAAACTTCATTCAACCACGAGAATTGAAAATTCGAAAAAGAATGAATTATCAATTAAATTCAAAATTAACAAAAAATATCCCAAACTCGTAAATCATTGTTCAAAAATTATAATCTGTATATAATTAATATACCTTTTAATTTGTCGATCATGACCTCTATGTCCTTTTCGGTTGTCGCTACGATAGGTGTAGCGTGAAACGTGTCCTTCGCGTCAGCCTGCTTATCTCCATTAGCGTTACTCAATAAGTCATCATTCAGTAGCTCGATGTCCAATCTCGAGTCATTAAGCTCCCTCGGCGAATCCATCTCGATTTCCGACACACCTTTCGGTGTATCCCTCCCTTCGCTCGATTCGGACAATACATCCTGCTCCTGCCTCTCATCCAACTCATTCAAACCAGTCACTTGAATCGATTGATTTTCTGGTGTCACAGTTTTCGATTTCTCATTTTCGAAATTATCCGGCGTCGACCGGTCGCTCCTCCTTGAAATATCTTCCTCGTTATCGCCCACGGCGGCAGCGCTCTTATCAGAAATATCTGCCCGCTTTTCGCTATCTTCCAAAACTCTACTATTTTTAAGACCTCGATCATTCGACCTCTGTGTAATCTCGTCGAGTATCTTCAAGACTTCTTCTGACTTTTGTATAGCTTCGTATCGCTCAATTAACGAAGCTTTCTGTACTTTTTGATGTTCGCTTTTATCGAAGATCTCGGACACTTCCAGGCTTTCTTCGGAAATGTCTTCATATTCTGGATCTTTTATGATGTCAAATGCTTTATTCCCCATTAGTGATGTATTAGTAGCTTTGGCTTTAATTTCGTCTAGAGGTAATAAGGAAATAAGTGAATTTTTCTCACTCTCGATTTCAGTATCTGTCTTATCGTGTGATAACGATTCAGAATCAGTAACGGAATTTAGAGAATTTTTGGTCTTCTTTTCTATTATGTCTAATCTACTTTCTGCTACCTCGACTAAATTATCAAGCTGCTCCCCGTCTGAGCTATCCAGTTCTACTACAGGTTCCAATGATTGTTGCTCTTTTACTATTCTTTCTTGCGATTCTACTTCGTTCGTTTTATTCAACTCTTCTTTTGTTAATTCAATCGTAGGGTCGATTTTGAGTTCCGGTAAGCTTTCGGTTTCTGTGTTGTCTGATTCCACCTCAGTTATAATAATTCCTTGGTATGTAGGTTCACAAATGTTTAGACGAAGATTTACGTTGATGTTAGGTTGCGTGGTGTGGATTTTGTTAGAAGATAAATGTTCTTCAATAGAGACTTCTTCGGTTATAACGTCTTCGAAACATTTTTCTTGTATATTTATAGTACGACTGAATGATTTCCCTTCGCCTTTGGTTCTTAATGTCTCTTTACTTCGATTTACGAATCCTCCTATCAAGGAATCTTCTTTGATGACTTCATCCGATATTTGCAGATTTTCGGTACTATGCAGTTTATTAGAAGCTATCTCTTCTTCAGTTGAGGGGACCTCTTCAATGACGATGATTTCTAAAGATTTCTGCTGTATAGTAGGACTAAGTGATCTTCCTTCATCAGTCGTTGGACTGAATAATTTTCTTTCTTCATCACTCTTAGCCTGTAATTCGTTTTTACTTCGATTTACGAATTTTTCTCTTAAAGAATTCTCTTCGATACTTTTCTCGACTTTATCCGATATTTGCAAGTTTCCATCGACACCAGCCTGGTTGCTATGAATTTTACTAGAAGTTAATCCTTTTTCAGAGAAGACAATTTCTTCTTCAATAGTTTTATCAGTGGAGAGAGCTTCTTCAGTCACAAAATCCTCTTCTAAGGATTTCTCTTGTATAACAGGACTGAATAATTTTCTCCCTTCGTCAACTGTAGGCTTTAAGTCGGTTTTACTTCGATTTAAGAATTTTTCTCTTAACGAACCTTCTTCAATACTCTTCTCGACTTTGTCCAGTATTTTTGTTACGGAATCGTGAATAACTTTTTGGAAATCGTCACTTTCTATACTATACTCAATGTCTTCCTCTTGATTTTTCTCCTCATTATTCTTCTTAACAATTACATTTAATATTTCTTCAGTTTCTTCGACACTCTCATTCAACTTGACTAAAATTTGTGAACCCTCGTCAATGTTGGTGAATTTAGGAATAAATGGAGGAACGTTTTCTGTATTACTGACTACGTCATTTTCGTTTTTAGATTCGTTAATTGATTGACTCGACTCATCGATAAATAATTTTGAATCTCCACTGTGAGATTTGTCTAAAAAGGACTGATTAAAATCTTGACTCGATGTATTCCAATCATCATTTTTATTGAAAGTTCTATTAATCACATTTTCTTCTGTTTGGATTCTATGCTCTTTTTCGAAAGTATCTTGTTTAAATCCTTCAGCGGATAATTTCAAATCTTCATTGTGGGATTTTTCTGAAAAGGATCGATCAATGTCTTTGCTCGATGTATTCCAATCATCGTCTTTATCGAAAGTTCTATTAATTAGAGTTTCCTGTAATTTAATTCTCTTCTCTTCTTTTTCCGAAGTATCTAGTTTATGTTTATCAATGAATAATCTCGAATCTTCACAGTGAGATTTTCTTGAAAAGGATTGATTAACATCTTGGATATCAAGTGGCTCAGAAGTATTCCAGTTATTATTTTTATTGAAGTTTTGATTAATCACATTTTCTTCCGATTGAATTCTCTTCTCTTCTATTCCTAAACATATTCCTTCCTGTTTAAATTCGTCACTTTTCTGAGAAACCTCTTTACTTTTTATATCTTCAGCTTGCATAAACGAAGTATCATTCCTATACTCTTGAAACTCTTTCAAAATTAATTGAAAGTCTGCTTTTGAAGTCTCATCATGCATACTTCGGTCTTTCATATAATCAATTATATTCAAATCTTCCAGTGTTCTAATCGAGCTCGAAGACTTCGGGGAAATTTGCTTCGACAATAATTTGTTCATATATTCGGCCACTATTGCTTCTTTCGAAATACCTTCCGTTCTATCACTTTCATTTACTGATGAATCATTTCTTATTAAATTATCTGTATATTGATTTTCCTTTCGGAATAAGTTAGATTTCTCTGATACTACCGAAGAGTTTCTATTAGATTCCAAACAATTTTCTATATTTTCTATACAACCTACAGTTTCTCTATTTTGCAGAGATTTTGGAGAAACATTAGACAAACTAATATTAGGTTCAGTAGATTCTTTAGACCAGCTAACAGCAGATTTGTCGTTAGTTTCATTCTCTTCATACAAGTTCAAATTATCATCGACCACTTCCGAACGATCGTCGATTATCTCTGAACGATTTATATCACTAATATGTTCTGATATGGATTTTTCAATTTCACTCAATATTTCCTTACTCCTAGCTTTAGCAGATGCGCTCTTTCGCAGATCGCTACTTTCAGCAGATACAACCTCAGTCTCATTCTCTTCATACAAAGTTGAATCATCGTCGATTATTTCAGAACGATTTATATCACTAATATGTTCTGACATTATGGATTTTTCAATTTCATTCAATATTTCCTTACTCCTAGCTTTGTAATCGATTTCCTGACTGTTTGATCTCGATAGGGAGATTTTATTCGGTATTATAGCAGATATCACGTTGTCAACTTCTTCTATTATACTTTTACTATCATTCAGATTGGATTTTAATCTCCTATCGTTTGAATTCTGCGAAATTTCAGCTTCTTTCAGAGGTATTATAGTTTTACTATCATTTAAACTGGATTTAACTTCCTTTACTATATTTTTATTATCGTTCAGGCTGGATTTTAATTTTATATCATTCACATTCTGTGAAATTTCCGTCTCTTTCAGAGACAATTCTGCGCTATTAACTTCATTTTTATCAGAAGCAGAGAGAATCTCTGATACATCTTTAGATGTACTTCTTTCTTCTGCTTTTTCTTCATTCTGCTCATATTTCGCCCCATTCGGCTGTTTATTAAAACGTGACATCATCTCTGATAGAATCTTCAATTCGTTTTCAAGCGAGCTTATATCTTCATTTAAGTTTTGATTATTCAAACGTAAGAAATCTAATTTTTTATCGAGGCTTTCGTTACGGGATTCTGTTACAATTTCCGATGCATTCGAACTCTGAAGATTATTAGATACTTTTGATATTTGATATATTTTCTATACAACCTACAGTTTCTCTATTTTGCAGAGATTTTGGAGAAACATTAGACAAACTAATATTAGGTTCAGTAGATTCTTTAGACCAGCTAACAGCAGATTTGTCGTTAGTTTCATTCTCTTCATACAAGTTCAAATTATCATCGACCACTTCCGAACGATCGTCGATTATCTCTGAACGATTTATATCACTAATATGTTCTGATATGGATTTTTCAATTTCACTCAATATTTCCTTACTCCTAGCTTTAGCAGATGCGCTCTTTCGCAGATCGCTACTTTCAGCAGATACAACCTCAGTCTCATTCTCTTCATACAAAGTTGAATCATCGTCGATTATTTCAGAACGATTTATATCACTAATATGTTCTGACATTATGGATTTTTCAATTTCATTCAATATTTCCTTACTCCTAGCTTTGTAATCGATTTCCTGACTGTTTGATCTCGATAGGGAGATTTTATTCGGTATTATAGCAGATATCACGTTGTCAACTTCTTCTATTATACTTTTACTATCATTCAGATTGGATTTTAATCTCCTATCGTTTGAATTCTGCGAAATTTCAGCTTCTTTCAGAGGTATTATAGTTTTACTATCATTTAAACTGGATTTAACTTCCTTTACTATATTTTTATTATCGTTCAGGCTGGATCTTAATTTTATATCATTCACATTCTGTGAAATTTCCGTCTCTTTCAGAGACAATTCTGCGCTATTAACTTCATTTTTATCAGAAGCAGAGAGAATCTCTGATACATCTTTAGATGTACTTCTTTCTTCTGCTTTTTCTTCATTCTGCTCATATTTCGCCCCATTCGGCTGTTTATTAAAACGTGACATCATCTCTGATAGAATCTTCAATTCGTTTTCAAGCGAGCTTATATCTTCATTTAAGTTTTGATTATTCAAACGTAAGAAATCTAATTTTTTATCGAGGCTTTCGTTACGGGATTCTGTTACAATTTCCGATGCATTCGAACTCTGAAGATTATTAGATACTTTTGATATTTGAGAGGGAGCTTGTATTTTATTGAGAGATTCTGAAGAGATGGTTTTAACTGCAGATTGTTCGGAAAATGTGTCGAAATCTGATTTATATTCTTTAAAATCAGACTGAATCGGGTTTTCATGTTTAGAGGCTTTAGTTTGAATGATTAGATCTTCGGGAATTTTTGTTTGACTGAGTATATCTTCACTGATTTTTGATCGAACATCTTCGGAAATGCTTTTCCTCGCGTTTTCACGTTTAGAGGATTTAGTTTGAGTGAGATCTTCGTAGACTTCTGATTGGGTGAGAATATCTTCGCTAATTTCTGATCGAGCATCAGAAATTCCACTCTTCTTCGCATTTTCACGGATAGAGGATTTAGCTTCGCTCTGACTAAGAATATCTTCGCTGATTTCTGATCGAACATCCTCAGACATGCTATTCTTCTTCGAGTCTTGTTTATTTTGCTTGGTACCATAAGGAACATTTTTCTCTGAACGGATTTCGTCGGAAATTGATGAAATTGAGCCGAGTTTGTCGATTTCGATCTGTTCTGATATACTATCGTCTAAAACGGATTGAGCAATCGATTGTTCCGATGTCTTCAGATTCTTAGAAGATTTAATCAGTTTTTCTGAATGATTGCTGTTGTCTTCAGTTTCGACAGTTTCGTTTCGTATCGGTTTCTTTTTAGAGTCCTTTGTTGATGGCCTTTTTGTGGATAACAAATCGGATTCAGATCTTGATCGTGATAAATCGCTACTTCTGAATATGTCTTGTATCTTTTTTAAGGGAATCTCGGGTACTTTGAAGTCCGCTAATGATCTCGATTCTATTGCTAATTTACTGTCCTTAGATGTGGTTTTCTTAGATTCCAGTTTCTTACGCATTTCGTGAATGGTTGTATCGTATTTCTGTTGGTCAATAAATCATATTTCTATTGAATATGAAAAGGGGAATTTAGAATACAATATAATCTATTGTATTAAAGTTCATTAAATATGAATTCTAATAATTCTTATAAACAGTGAATATCAGACTGCCGACTCCACACAGCTCGGCAAGCTTGACAAACAAATTGCAAATTAAATTAATCAAATTATGATGAACCGTCTGGCGTGAGCGTCAGTCCCAGTTCTGAATTTTATAGGAGAAAAACAGTCAGCTGATCGATCGTGATGGACCGAGAATCGAAACCAGATGCTGAGCTATCCAACGGACATTCAATTCTCCCAGTTCTTATGACTATTATTTATCAAATTCCTTATACTTACTTTAATTTGATTTAATAAGTTAGCTTCCAAAGCCCGTAGTTTCTGCTTTGTCTGCTTTCTGGCTTCTCGCTTCAAACGGGACATCTCTATCCGCCTCTCAGCCAATTTTTCTGTCAGCAACTCTATCCTTCCTTCGATGTCACTCGTGTCCGATGAAACGGTGGTATCTATAATATAGAAATGATACACACTCGTCTCTATTTTTAATTGCTTACAATTAAATATATATATTCTATTTCTTTAAATTATCGAAAATTCTATTGTATATTTTCAATTTCTTTATACATCACGTGTTCTATACTCTTTTAAATTATTACAAATTCATGAAACCGCAAACCATGCATAGATCACTAACAAAATGCTTGATAAATCTGTTAAGAGAATAGATATTAAAAATTACCTTGTTGAGAGAAAACGTTAGACGTTGCTGTTACGAGCTTAAATGCAGCCTGTTCCATCCGCGCGACGCGATCTTCTTCAGTCCTTAATTTCGCATGCCAAGCCATCCATTCCTCCACGCAGTTCTTCCGTGAGGTAAGCGCAGCTTCGCGTGCGTTCAAAATTCTAAAAGACGTAATCATGTCTAATGAGGAAATTTTCCATGCCGATTCAAATTATGCGCAAACTAGATTTTCATTTATAAAGAATTTGAATTTCGAATTAATGGGAAGTTTGAATTAATAGAAAATAAGGATTGAGAAGAGTTGGACATTAACTTATGAAGAAGAAACTGGCCGGTCGCGAAACAAACGAACGTCGGAGAGAACTACTGTAATAACAGCGGAATGCACATCTCGCCGGTGCACCGAATCTATTTTTACAATGGTTCATTTCATGGTGTGAATACTCGGTTTATTATTAGATACCTTACACGTGTCTCTAGTGATTCGCAATTTTATTAATATAGCTCGAACGTTATATCGGAAACGGCTTCCATGATCAAAATCCAACAGCAAATAGAAAATATTAAGAGGCTGTACTAATTCGTGCTATGTATGACAGATAATGTTTAAGTCTAAGGACGTATTTAAATCTGGAAATTAGCAAGTTCCGACATCTTTTAAAATCATATGTGTATAAGTTTTTCCAGTCCAAATAGAATCTTGATTCTTTGCATTTAAGTTAAAAGAAATTGATTCTACGCACACTCACACTCACATACACGCGCGCGCGCGCGTGATTTTGTTTCTCTAATAGAAGCTTACATATAAATATATACTTACTGTTCGAGTTTCTTCGAAGTTTTCAAATTATGATCCTGCGATCGTATAACAACAGACTTCGAATAATTCCGATCGCTCTCGGAACTATGATGAGAAACCGCAAAATTACTAATCTGCGACTTAGTATCATCAAAATTTTCGTAAGCCTCGATATTTTCGAACATCTGGCAGGACATATTCTCTTTGCTATTAAAATCCTCCGCTCTATTCCCTGATAATTTAAAATTCTTCTCTCTAATATGTTTATCCATATTTTCATCATTTTTATCAAATTGAATAAACTCCTTCTCAGTCTTCGTCCTCTTATTATGATGCCTCAATTCTTCCGACACCTGAGAACTGGACTTTGATCGCAAAATGTTCTCCGTCAAAATACTCGACGACGATTTACTCTTCTGACACTTCGAACTCCTGCGTTTTAAATTCGACTTCGATTCGGAATATTGAGTTTTCTTCGACTTCTCTTCTTTGTCCGTGGGAATTGATTTACTGCTCCTCTTCGAACTCTTCGAGTGCGTCTGCAGCACATCTTCAGACACTTGAGACGACTTTGACGTTTTCGAAACAGTATCTTGGCTAGCGGAGCTTATCTCTTCTGGCAAAACCTCGGTATTAGTAACAGCTTTGATTTCCCTCGGAGAGGCGATGCTTTGGTAATGGTCCATCGCTGATGGCTTCGATTTCTTGGATAATTCCTCTACCAAAGTATCAGATTCTGATTTCACGTGCTCAGAAATCGATTTATCTAGATTCTGTTCAAACACGTTCGATTTCTCCTTTTCAAAAAGATATTTCCCAGGACTATTGACAGAATGATTTGATATTAATTTTGGCTCCTGAGATTTCAGTCTTATTGTATCAGCTTTCGGCATCTTTTCTTCGAATTTCCTGGATTTTATCTCGTATTTCGATTTCCCATCTCTTTTGTAAGGACACTTCTCTTGGAGGCTCGCTTTGGAGGCTTCGTCGGATTTATCCGATTTATCGAGCATCAAGAATAATGGGCTTGATCCCTCGACGAAGTTCGCGAACTTGTCTCTTGGTAGATCGAGGGAAGATTTCGAGAAGATTAATTCGCTCTCGGACATTTGTAATCGGGCATCAGTTTGAGACCGATCGTGTTGGGATTTGTCGGAATCGACGAGAGAACTCATGGAACTGTTGCTTCGGATGTCGTAACCCTTCATGGGACCAGATAATCGGCGAGGGGATTGACTGTCCGCACTCCGTTTTAATTTCGTTAAAATGTTTTTAGTTGACATCTGGGGGTTGAACATATTTCTCTGTTTTTGGAGCATTAGTTTACGCTCTTGGCTGGCGATTTTGTGAAGCTCCTTTAATCTGAGAATAAAATGCATATGGATTAACAAATATAGTTTAAATACGAATATAATTAGTAGGTTGGTGAAGATTATAGATTTTTCATTGTTGTACTAACAGTTGGACTTTTTCGAATTTCTTCAAATTAAATAATTGTGATTCGAAAGTAATTATTTAAAATCTTAATTAAGAAACCTGAATGATAACACTTTAACTTTCTATTAGATTAAAATCGAATTAATAATTAAATCTTAATGTTAATTGCTAGTTGATGTCCAACTGAATTAAATGCTACTAGCATACCTGTTCATCTCGTCTTTTTCTTGTTGCAACTTCAAAAGCAAAGCTCTCTGTTTCTTCTTCACAGAACTGACACGGCTCTCTTGTCCAGTGTCCCTCAATGCCCTTTTTTGTTCCTCGAGCTTCACCAATTTCTTCGTTCGATCGTTCAACGTCTTCTCGCGAGACTTAAACAGCATCTCGATTTTGTCGTACCTCTGTTTCTCATCCTTAATCAACTGTGCAATCTGCGAAGGAACAAAAAATTATTATACTGAAGGTTTTTAAGCAGAATGAAACATTTTTAACATGGTGCAAGTTAAAAAAATGCATTTCTTTTATCATGTAAACATTGTAATAGTTAATTCTAATAGTTTATCATCTTTTAATTAAATTCAGTTTACCTCCAGATCTAAATATTTATTGAAAGAGCAAGTAACATCACGAGTAGAGATGCTAATTTCAGTCCCAGTCTCCGTCCGTATGGACGACGTCGTTTCGTGCAGACTTATTTCAGACATTGTCCTTAATTTACTAGGTAATGATATTTCTTCTACTTGATCTAAGTCTTCAAACTGTTCCACAGAATCTAAGGAAAGCTGCGGGACTTCGCTATCACCGGCGAAGCCTCGTTCGTAAGAAACGCCGCATACTTCGGAACACCGGCTTTGGACGTTCCGTCGAGTCGGACGTATGTCCGTTTGCGTCGCCATATCGTTCACAGTTTGAGTTTGTACTTCCACAGCTTTGACTGTCGGTTTTACTATTTTATTTAAGCTCTCCAGTTCGTTTGCCATTGTTTGGCTTGTGATATGATGCGTCGGAAAGCCTGTTAATTTTTTATTCGATATAAATGAGGATTAATGTATATATTATTCTGAATAACAATTTCTTTTTGATTCACCTTCTATGTAAATTATATCATAATAACTCAACAAATATTTACCTTGCTCAGTAGCGGATAGTTTGTGTAATTTGCTAATCTCACTGCGATGCTCCATATCATCGATATTCCTCTCTTCGACTCCTTTAGGGAAGTGTGATTTCACTTGATCATTCGACTGACTATGCTGCAACGGCAATTCCTTCTCTTGCTCCTGTTTAACATTGTATAAACACTTCTCAACATCCATAACTTGCCTTAAAGACTCATTAAATGAGTCTAGGAGATGCAATTCTGCCTGGAATTGCATATGTAAGGCAGTCGGATGTAACTGTAATTACGGAAATGTCGTTATGGCACAAAAATTATAATTATGACCCTCATCCTACATACAAAAATACTTGATATCTATACTTACCAACGGAATGCATTCTTGTTCAACTTCACTTTTCCCAGTACAATGTTTTGAGCACTTCACCTCTTCCACATTATTCTGTATGAACTGCCGTTTCCTCTTTGATCGAGACAAAAGGTTCACATCCGGCGTAACCAAATCACAGAATTCTTCCTGTGGCGACCGACTTTCATCCCTAAACGAAATCCTCCTAGGGTCCAACAACGCGCTGGACAAACTGCTATCATTTAAATTCGATTCATTACTGTTACTCGTCTGCTTAGCCGTAGTAGTAACGCTCTGCGTGAACGAATCCTCCTCTTCCTTTTTAATAATCCCGCTAGTACTCTGCGTCAACGAGTTATCAATATATTTCGAATCCTCAGTTTTACTAGACTTGCTTACGCTAATACTTTGTGCAATCTTATCAGGATCTTTATTTTTCGTTAATTGCGAAGAAATAGTCGGACTCTGAGTCCTCGCGCTCACATTCGAATCCGTGACGCTCTCGGTTTCCTTTGAATTCAACATATATAATTTCCCATCGATTTTACTGGTCGACGGTTTCATTACTTTCTCAGATCGTTTCAATTGTTCTTTAAAAGTCGTGTTCCCAGTATTTGTTTGTAACGGGCAGGCTTTGTGCTGTTTACCTTGCCTAGTGTCTAACGAAAATATATGCTTCTGATCGTCAATCTGCTTCAAATCGTCTTTATACCTATAATCGAAGTTCTCAAACCTAGATTCTCTGACTGTCACCTTCTCTGATAACTTCGCCGAAGAAAGCGACTCGTTACTGTACGACCTATTCTTAGAATCTAAAGAGGTATCCCTTGATTTCAAAGACCTAGCGTGTACAGATCGCCTCTTATCGTTTACTTTCTTAGCAGTCGTCGTAGCGAGGTTCTTTGGCTTCGGCTTCGAACCAAAATCACTTTCCCTCGGCATGTTAAATAATAATCTGTCATTCTTTAATTTAGCCCCTAATTCGTTAGGATTAGGAAATTCTTTTCTAGAGTGCCTCGGGCTTCGGGACCTTTTAAAAATATCTTGCATCATCTCATCTTGTTTAGAGCCATCGTCCTTTCTGATTTTCTTCGACCTATTTTCTTTCTCTCTTGAATTCTCTCGGACGTATTCCTTCTTCTTCGACAGGTGAGAGGATATCGATATATTTGGTACTTTCAGTGGCTCGATTTCGCTGTTGTTTGTTGAGGAAACATCCGAAGTTGAGAAATCCAGTCTTCTTTGGACTCTCTCGAAGTTCTTTGTAGGTTTCTCTGTTCTTTCGTGACCCGGAGCTTCGAATTTTATTAATTCTTTTGACGCACTGTTCTCTCGGTTTGAGTAATCTAATTTCTTCGAGATCTTCGAATCTGGGACCTTCAGAGATTTTATAAAATCCATTTTCTGGGCAATTTCATGTAAATTATGGATATTGTCACTGTTTAGTATTGTTACTGAGTCAGGTGCATTTTTATTTGGCTCGTGTTTTCTGCAGGATTCGGAAGCATCGTCTGACGCAAGCTTCCTCTTTACTGCGCTTATGAAAGTAAAGGGGTATGGCTGAACAAGATGATATGACAATGTCTGTTCCAATCCTTTTAAGCTTAATTCAGGTGGGAATTCGGATAATTTGTCCTCAGATGTTTGCTGCTGATTTTCAAGCTCTTGTTTAACTTGAGCTGCCTGAAATCACGTTTTGTTGTAGTGTACATGTATGCAGGGTGAGTCGCCCGAGTTAAGCCACCTGAATAACTTCTACATTTTTCGAGATAAGAAGAAATATTTTACACGAAAATTGGTTAGCTTCGAAGGGCACATTGTACAGTGTACATCACTTTTCTGCCGATGGAGGTGCTTAGGAGATTCAAAGATCAACTTTGTTTTTTTCAAATTGAATGCGGTATTCTTTTTATACAACAAAAGATGCAACTATACATATAGACATGAACTGGAAAGCTATGTCGAAATTCGAAATTCATCGATCCCGTTGGCTTAGTGATAGGAAATAAGAAAATCAATGAAATTTTGACCTACTGCTGCAGATGCTTCGACGCGTTGAGCGATAACGTCAGGATCAGAAAAAAAGACATATTTCTTCTTCTCGATAACGTCTTCTTTTGCCGAATTGCTTTTCATATTTCTTATACTCGTTACATGGCATTAAGTTACTTGCTTGCCCATCTTTGGGATGAATGTTTTTAATAAAATAGAAGCGCTAGAAATTTATCTGTTGAAACAAGTGCCATTATTAAAATACAATATATAAAAAAATATTTTTAACAGTATGAAATTCAGAAATAATAGAAGTAATAAATGAATAGAACAAAAATGAAGAAGAATGGTGTTTAATTCTTTGAGGCACAGAATTTTAAATGAAAAAGTGTTAATCTGCACAGAATTTTAAATAACTTCAAGTAGAACTTGAAATTAAATGTTAAACTGTACGACTCTGAGTAACTTGAACTTTTCGAGGCGGGTTAAACTATGTCTCAGTATGCATAAAAAGCTAAGCAAATGGTGAGACAGTTTTAACACAAGCAACCCCAAACAGATAAACAAGTTGATATTTATATTTAAATAGTTAACCGCGATTAAATGCATAATACCTGGGATTCACAACGAAACATTGATCAAGATCCAACGTATTTATAACCTAATTCGGGGCGCCATATTTTACAAATCCGTTTCACTCAACGAACTTTCAAATGTTTCACAACAATCGACGACAATTCACGGTTCGAAATACTCGGAAATCGATGAAATTCCCGAATGCATCATCACGCATCGTTTCAATTGTCATAATAACGAACGTGAAAACGCATCACACATCATACAACAGTCATTTGTAAACGACAATCACGTGGTACTCCGCGATTTGCTGCTGGCACCTCGGCACCTGGTACAGCTAGTCGAGATGGCATTCAAAATTACTAACCGTTACAGAGGGTCTAATAAGAACAGTATGACACAATTTTAAACAAAATGTTTATTTAATGATAAATCAAGGGACGCGGTAGCGGCCCGAAGTTACAAATTACATTTAATACAAAATTTGAGCTGGATGTTTTTTCATAAATTCATTTATATTTAGACGCGAAAATGATAATGCTACTCTCATTTTGTGATCCAGATTTAAAAGTCTAGATCATTTTTTCGTTTTTTGTTGTGGTTAAAGACAAAAATTCGAATTCGCCAAATAAATATTAATGTAGTGTCAATTGATAAAGAAATATGAAACAAATAAATCATTTTTATTTCGGGGATACAATGAATGTGAAACTGCACTTGTGACCATGGACCTAAGTCCATGTTTGTGACCGTTGACTATATATACAAATCAAAGCTTGCGACCAACTATATACAATTAACACATATACATCTCGAAATCGCAATACTGCATACAGTCACACGTCATACATCCTTCAAAATGGTGATGTAAGGAGCATGTGCAATTGTATATAACGAAGATATTTAATTAGTGCGTGAAACAAAGTGCAGATAATTCCTGATCATGATTCTAATACTAAGGAATTGTATGTTAAACCGAGGAAAGCTCTTCACTCAAGAAATCATATCGCTCAAACGTACTTTCACGTATCGTACGTACAACAATGTTAAGGTTAGAAATAAAGATTAAACAATTTCTATTCACGTTTACAAAATAATGAATGATTATACACAAATGTTGTATNNATTGTTATTTATGTACTCACATCCTATACCGTGAAAGTTAATTTAAATCTCCGTTATCTCCTTTATGTTTCTTTTATTTTTAACAATTTAATTATAATAAATACATTTTTGTCGTCCAGAAATACCTACCGGCTTTGCAAGCAAAATACTTATCCACCGAAAGTAATAAAAATGTCGATAAAGAATTGATATATACTGGAAATATAAATGCCAAAGTTCGTAATTTGAAACTGTTTTCGCTGGTGTCAACAGTTGGATCAATGACTCTGCAACCATTTTTATATATGAACATGACAGATGAAAACAGTGCAACGACTTTGGCTATGATATTTGCCTTAGCCAATTTAATTGCTATAGGTAGTCCTGTCCTGGTACATGCTTTAGCGAAGAGATATGTACTAGAGATGTATTACAATCCTCAGGAAAAAGAATATATCGCGAAAGTGTATTCGTTTTTCTTCAAGAGAAACGAGGTATTTGTAATGAATCTAAGGCTGAGGGCATACAAGCGTTGAAACCTTTACTTCGGTTAAACTTAGGAGACATCTTCTAATTAAGTTTCGCAATTTAATTTTTAATTCTTAACTCAAGTACGAAATAGAAGTTCCTTTAATAACATACGACAATATACTTCGAATATCATTTTAACGCTCGTATTCCCTCAGCTTAAAAGGGAGTTTATTTATTCTCTATATTTGCATAATGAAATTGCATATGTCTTTTAGATAAAATTTAATCCCGATGAGGTCTCCGAGCCTCAAACACGATTTACTGGAATCTTCACATCGTGTTACGCAAAGAACTATCCACTACTGTTCGATCCAAGTTTATTTACAAATCCTCAACATTACACCATAATCATGGGGTATAACAAGCCAATAGTGTTAGAAGTGGAGAAGTTAAAAATACCTCCTCCTGTTAACCGGCTTCCGATGATGGGACACGCTAGTCAAATAGAAGAAAGTAAAAATAAAGTAAAGATCTAACTTTCTATTTGTAGTTTCATTTATTACACAGCGTCTTAATCTTCTAAAAACTTCTTTTTATACACTATTTTTAAAAACTATGTAAGTTGCTAGGTACAAAATATGTACATTATTACATTGGGTGTGTGTACCGAAAAATACAGTAGCAAATTACTGAGACAGGAAACTAACGAACATTTTGTCATTTCTCAGTTACTACAGATTTTAAGCAGTATTTCAAAAATCTCCAGTCGTCACCAATCATCTTCTTTACTCTATTCCACTAATTTTGAAATTACGTAAATAGAAATGGTAGCCAATGCCCAATACTCAAATTTCGAAAAAGTAACATAGAAGTCCGAATATAAAACATAAACCTAGTTAAAAAGTGAAATCAAACTAGCTTTTAAATAGATGTAATCAAATTTTTGAAATTAGTACAATATAATTCGTACAATTCTGTAAGAATCCGAAAATGTCTTCGTGACTCTCGAAATTTTCGAGAATCCATCCCGATCCTAAGGGAAAACTCTCATCCTGACATAATTGAGGAACCCGAATATCGTCAAATCTCCCAAAAAATCTCAAAGGTCTCAACATTTTCAAGAGTTCAAAAATGTTCAAGAAATCATCCCGCAAAAAATTCTCATCGCAACTCAATCCAATTCTACATTTCTGATTTCTCGCATTCCTCTCTATTAATTTGGTAACGACGCAAGAATGGCAGACACGTTATGAAAGAGATCACAGATTATAATCATACCGTTTGAATTCGTCTCAAAGGTACGAGCAAAATATGTATGCCAACAAGTCGATTGTATAGTTACTGTACACTAAGCTGGTAGCAAGTCGAAGTCGTCCGATACGTGTACCATTGGTACATAAATATCCTCAATTTGAGGCGTCGCTTTGGATTCGCAGAGGCCGACATCCTTCAATTTCCATTCCCAGTGCATCCTCTGCACAGCATGCAGCGATTCGGCTTCGTTATGATGTCTAAGTAGCATTGCCTCCTAAAATAAAGATTTAATTTTTAATATATATACGTATATAAATAATTAGAAACCCGTGTAATAAATATGTATATATATACGAGTTTTTCTATAAAAATATAGAATGCAATAATAATAAAACAATTTACAGTTGCCCACTTATTAAAATTCACGTAAGAATAACAATTACTCAAGAATTTTTACCTTGATCTTTTCCCATTTGTCATCCACATCTTGCAACCAGCTCAAGAATAATCTGCCATTGTATCTACTTCTCGCGTTTCTATCCTTCTCTTCCTGTTCCGGTGTAATAACATTGTACACTTCTTCATCCTTCAATATAGTACAAACTGAAAACGGTAGAGATTGATTGGCAAGAGCCCTGGCAGCTCTACCATGAACTCTAAGGATTTCCTGCTCCACCGACAGAACTAATTTCTCCTTTTCGACAACGTGTTGCATCCTAAGTCGGTATCTTTCCCTTTCTTGTTCGATATAGAAGTCTTTCATCGGGCCTTGTAGTCCAACGGGAGGATTTATATTAGGTTCTTTGTTCGCGTTTCCAGCTAAGACGTATGTACAACGGTTCATTAAATAATCTTTGAATCCTTGGGGCGGTTTGGGTTGAACCGGAAAGAGGCCTTTCCTTCTTCGTTCAATCTGGAAAAATAGAAAAGGAAATGATATCTTTGCATCAAATGAAACTTGGTCATCGAAAGTGACTCGGATTCGTGACTACTGAACTTAATGTCCACTAATATTGTCCGCGACTATAAATATTGAATTAACACGAACCTGTTTCCTAATATTCAAAAACAATTGATAACAATTGGTAATCGGTTGATCATGGGGATGAACCTCAGGACCCGCGTTAGCAGCCTCAGACGATTCGTTCGAAGCATTTGTAGCCGCTTGTTGCGCTTCCTTATTCGGTTTCATCTTCCTTTTCCTCGGATGAAGTTCAACAGCAGGCGCCGGGGTGCTCGTATTCGACGTAGCCGTGGAGGTAGTTGAATTCGTACTCTCCGAGTTCTCCGAACTATTATCCCTTTGACATTTCCCACTACTCTCAGTATTCTTCTCCGACTTCTCCGCAGCAACGTTCGCCTTCGAAGCCGCGCCATTGCTCGAGCCTTCGGCCGATGTATTTTTACTTGACTCTGAACTACTCATCTCAGGCGTCGGTGAATGATGCCTCTGTTGCGGAGAGGAGTTATTCGACCGATCCGTAGAAGCGGTCGCTGGTAACGGGGAGGAATTTGAATAATTTCCGTTACCCGCGGACGTAGAATTCTCTTTTAAGTTTGTTGAACCGTTACCGCCGTTACCGGACCGATGCGAGCTGCGAAGCACTCTCTGGTGATGCGTCGATCTCTCTTCACCATGCAAAGCACCACTAAAGTCTTTCTTATCCTCGTTCTTCGTGCTACTTCCACTTTCCGTGGGACTGTTGGTCCCACTGTTCGATTGATTCTGTTCCTTATCAGTAGAATCGTTGCTATTGGAGCTGGCGACTACATACGGCAACTGGTGACTCCGATTTGATATACTTTTCCCGTTTCTGTTACCCTGCTCTTGCTCGGATGTGGTGCTCTGCGGGATGACGATTTTCAAAGGCGGAACTTTGGGTGCCGAACTGGAATCCGATCCTTTCGAGCGATCGTCCTCGCCATCGGACTCCGGGGGCGCCGGTGTGTTTGTCTTCGAGTTAGTCGTCGAGCTAGAAGGATTTGATGGTTTCGGACTGCTTGCCATCGAAGAAGCACTCGGACTCTTTCTGTCCGGATTGTTCAAAGCTGCGTTCTGATTGCTTTTACTGGAGTTTGTTCCAGAGCTTTGTTTACCGGATTTCGTACACTGTAATGGAAAATAATAAGGATTAGAGCGATTTATTATGGTGGAGAGATTAGAGGTATCGAAATTATTGAATTTTGGGAGAACTAAATTCCATGTCCTCGCCAGCTTTGAAGCCCCTAAAAATGTCGTTACTCGATTTTAAAGGAGAAGATAATAGGAACGAACCTTTTCTCCAGTGCCAACAGCATTTCTACCAGCGCCCTGCCTGCCAGTAGCGTTGCTCTTCAAATTATCCTTCACCGGTTCCGAGTCCTTGCGTTTCTTTCGTCGAATCTCTTCGTCCTGTTCCTCAGCATTGTCGCTTTCGAACGAACGTTTAGACGAAGGCGACGCTGAGGTCGCAGGGGCTTCGTCCGTAGCAGTTAACGTCGACGTCGTTTCACTAGAAGCCGTTGCGTTACCAGCAGCAGAAGCATTACTGCTACCACCTTGGGCTCCTTGGTTACTGGCTGATTTCCCGGCATCCTTGTCTTTATCAGTGTTTGGGTTCGGTGACGAGCTTGAGCCACGAACTGGCGTCGCTTCTTTCGAACTTTTGAATTCGTACACATCGCCGGTGTCGCCGGCCGACGACGTATTATTACCAGAAGCACTGGAAACCGAGGGGGCAGCATTCGCGGGTCCTGAAGAGGCGCTCGTGGACGTCTTCGACGAACTTTCCATTTGACCTTGGTTCTGCGAATCAGAATATAAGATGATAAATACGAATAGTGTATGCGCGCGCGCGTGTATGCGTGAGTGTGTGACAGAGAGACAGAGAGAGAAACTAGAAGAGATATAAGAAAAGTATATGAGATGAGATATTAGATATGTTGTAGTACAGGCAAAGTATGAGAGTTTATATTGTAAGACAACATTGAAAAACGCGACCTACACATTTGTCTTTACGATTTGTACAAATCTTAATATTTTAGATATCTTTTGTACAAAGTCCTGGACAAAGTTAGGAAGAAAAACGTAAAGAAACGATTTCTAAGTTGTTTACTTGCATCACTAATCAATAGATCTGTAGATTTTCATGCAAAATAAAATGTTTGTGACACAGAGTTAAGGAATAGAATTTAGATATACCACTTCTAGGATCTCTATGGGGTCTTTGGAGCATATATGTTCTACGATGGGATCCTTAGCGCATATATGCTCTACGATGGGATCCTCAACGCACATATGCTCTACGATGGGATCTTTAGCGCATACATCCGCTGCGGTAGGATCATCAATGCACATATGCTCTACGATGGAATCCTTAGAGCATATATGCTCTACGATGGGATCCTTAGCGCATGTATGCTCTACGATGGGATCCTCAACACATATATGCTCTACGATGGGATCCGACATGCCGGCGTTTCTGTAGTTTTGCAATAACAGTATATATGCAAAACAATATATGTATAACACACTAATATTTAGCACACTAATATTTAATACAATAACATTTAACACACTAAAATTTAACTCACTAATATTTAATACAACAATATTTAACGAACGATATAAAGCCGAACAGAGCTACGTCTAACTTGTACGGCGGTCAGGCACGAAGTGTCGTCCTTAATAAAGGTACGACATTACCCCCAAAAGGTAGAAAAATCCCAGAAATCGGAATGCTAACAATAAGCAAGTGTCTTAAACCCTCGACAACAGGGGAGGCCAGCTTAGGGCCTGCGGATCCTTTATCCGTTGAACGACCCCTACTACAGTGTCCCAATGCTATAAGATAAGCCTACTGACTATGTATTAGCTATGTCTCTATTTCTACTACTATTATAGAGTAATTTATTTCAGAGTTATATTATATTATATTTATTACAGAGTAACAGATTTGAGAATTTTTCAATTTGTTCGTTCATGGCGTGTATTAAATAAAAATTAATGAAGTTCTTAAATTCTGGATTAATGGATTCTGGAATAATCAGTGGCAGTTTGCCAAAAATTCTGAAAAAAATACCAAATTGCATTACTGTATGAGTAATACATATGAAAAATTCGACAAATTTTTATATTGCAAATTGAAGTAGAAAAAATTCGTATTTTTATCTTTGATTCTTGGTTGAATTTAGTTAACAATTTTATTTCGGAAGTTGCAGTCGATGAAAAATTCAGAGAAAATTCAGGGGTTTGCTGCGTAGAAGCTCGCTACCCCTGCTTAAAAGCAAAGAGAAAGTAGTGCCTGCAAAGCAGTTTCACTGCATTAACACTTAGATTCTTGGTCTTAAGATTTATGATTCGTACAGAGTTTACTTGAGGACAGAAAGGTAGACCCGTAACTGTACAACCGAGGCTGTCGCCATATACTTTCTTATAATACTACCTGAGTTCTAACTGTTTACATTCTCTACAAATCCTACAATTCTTACTTTTTATTGTTTGTCGTAAATATTATTCTCCAAATTGATATTATTTCAATTTTAGAATATTCTTAAAGCCTGTTTTTTCCAACACACTCAATTATTTCATGAAGATATAAAATCCGCAGTCAAATAATTTATTAATTAAATATATAATAATAATAATTTATAATATAATAATATAATTTAAACTAAAATAATAAAAGCAGAAATATAATTTTTCATATGACTCTGTCTGTTATATGTACATATGTTATTTTGTAATG